ACAACACTGGCGCCCGGCTTGATGAGGATGAGGAAGTCGGGGAGTCCGCACTTCTCACCCCGGCCTTCACTGCTGCATCCGTGCGGGCAGTGTGGGCTGACCATCAGCTGGCATGCACCACTATCCATACAGCGGCATCCGTTGCCCCATTCAGTGACACCTTCTGCCCCAGCCCGGAGGAGAATCTCTGCGGATGGAACGATTGGTGTTTTGAGTCGCTTGAGCCGCCTCCCGAGGCCAAAGATGCTCAGCGAGCTGCAGCCCGGACCCAGCTGCAAAGCCTCACAACTGAGTGGCTGTCCGCTGCAAAACGTTCCGGTGGGATCAGTCCCTTGGTGCCTACAGACCGTGACACCCTGAAGGTTTCAGTGGGAGCCCAGTTCTTCCCACTGGCCACACAGAAAGGAGTCACACTTTATGAGCCGCTAGGCGGCATGTGCACGGGCCTTGAGGCCTGTCTGCACAATGGAATTAGGGTCAACAAGTATCTGTACTCGGACATAGACCAGCATGCAAGGATGGTGGCCACCGCACGATTGCCAGCACTCAGCGCTGCCTATCCCCAGTTATTTCCGCTCTCAGCATGGAGCGATACATTTATAGCACTGTCTCAGGACGTCCGGCAAGTTACAGGTCCGGAGCTTAGGCTGGCAGGAGCTCAGGAGGGTAGCCTGTGGTTGGTCATCGCATTCTGGAATGCTCAGTCAGCTGACACAGTGCCAAAGGTTCTCAGCGTGATAAACGAGCTTCAGGTGCTCGTTCCTTCACCTCGACCGGCCTGCATACTGGGTTGCACATCCCTACCGCTTTCTGACCAAACACCCGAGTCCGAAACAGCCGAGAAGAATGCTGACAAGATGTTTGGGAAAGCCACCCTTACCGATGCTGCACACTTTGGCTCGTATTCACACTGTCTTTACCAGTGTTGGAGTAACCTCGCGTTGCCCGAGGAGTTCACCTGTGTCGTGCAATCTGCAATCCGGCCCGCCGGCAGACAACTCCAAGACGTGCTTAGCAGTGAGCATTCAGCACCCATCTCTGCGCGTCAGATGCACAATCCGTACTACCCCTGTGACCATGCTGGGAAGCCCGTCCGCACGCTTTATCCAGGCTCAGTGGGGCAGCGTGGCTCGGATGTTGTGGGGAGTATCGCCACTCCGTTGTACAACAGTGTTACCACTCAGTACGATTCCCTGTATCCCGGGGAGTGTGACATCGTGTTGGGTTATGAGGCAGGGGTGTCAGCCGCTCCTGGCCTAACAGATCATGCTCGTCTCTCGGTGCTGGTCAACGCAACTGACCAGGCACTCATATCCAGTGTTGTTGCAATCCTGCGCACCCTGGCGCAAGATGCCAAGGTGCAAGCCTTTTCCGCAGCATCATGCCGATCCGTCATGCACAAGCTTGCTTACCTCTCACAAGGGCTTGCCGTGAGCGTGGCCTCTCACCCTCTTAGTGACATGGGTGGGGCCTCTATGGCGCTGGCCGCGCATGCTCAAGATCAGACTCTCAGTCCCGATGCCCGACGCCAGGATATTTGGGACGACGAAATCACGATTTGTCTTCTTCACTTAGGCGAATGTCCACCTGGCACCGACCTGGCGGAGCAAAAGCGTTGTGCTCAGCGCGCACGCAAGTACCGTTTCCAAGGAGAGAATGACTTCACCAGGAGAGCAGCGCGAACGAAGTCGCCACTGCGAACCAGTTGTACGACAGTACCACAGAACCAGCCTTAGAAGCTCCGGTCGCTTCACTCCGTCGCGTCTAAGCCAACAATTAGTGCGCGGACGCGAAAAGCCTAGCTCAATAGATGGGTGACACCACTTTGAGAATATACAGCGACGGATCGCTTTCAACAATAGCTGCACAATAAACTCGGGGTACTGGCGCCCGATCCTTTACTTCTCACGGCCGCCTACTTCAGGACGACTCGCCGACCTTCTCAGTCGTTTGGCTGTGGGTAATGAATATACAATAGGAGCTTTCCTCAAAGCTCCGGCTTGACTTGGCTGACTTACTCCAGCTTACTTAACTTGATGAGCGCGATCGCGGTAGGCGAGGACGGGCTGGGAACGGATCCCTGTCGAGCCTAGAGGTATAAGTCCTGCTCTGATACGCGTCTCGAGGTAGGGTAGGATCACAGTCTTCTTACATAAAACAGGCCTATCAACCCTCCTGTGAATATATTATCCGTAATAATTGATGGTCTGTACGCTCACGAAGAGTTGCTTCGAGAGCCAAACGACAAATGTTTGGCCTCTTCGCACTCGCATTTATGGCGAAGTATCGACTGATCCACGCCGGGCCTTATCACACGAGGCCCTATCCTGGATACGTAACGCTCATCCGACTAACGACAGATGAAACGACAACTGAACATCCTCAAACCACAACGGAAAGCGCCTTATACGCTAGTCAGGCAACACCCAAAGTCTCAACTAAATCAATACGCGGTTCGCCTAACTACCTTCGGTTGGCTTAACCACCTGCGGATAGCGACTAACTCGGTCGTGGCACGTAATTTGTGCGCTCCAGATGTTTTGGCGTGACATGGTGGTGGTGGTGGTGACGGTGTCAAGCCCCACACCGTCTGCCTAGTCCAGTCTTCTAACCTTCAGCTTGACGAGAGGCCCCCCCCCCGTGTGTACACCACCCCCCACCCGCGTTATGAATTACCCGCTCGCCTGTGGGGGAGAGAAAACGAGGGAGGGCATTACTCTGTGCATTACTTACGTTTACCTGGCTCACCTGACGTATCAGGCTTACCTCTTACTTCAGCTACACACCACACCCACGCTCGAGCTCTCTGCTGCAGTGGCTGTGCGGCGGCGGTGGCAGCAACCTCGGCCGACCCCCAACCTGCGCAGTAATCCCCGAAACCCCCACATGCAACCCCTCACAAGGGCGGGCGGGCGGGGGGTTGTTCCAGGCCCTCATCAGCAGCGAACGGTTGTGAGCCCACACGCGCCGGCTTTGCACATCGGCCCCCCCCCCCCCCCACACACACACACACACCACACACACACACACACACACCTTCCGCCGCCTTGGCATCTGCGCATGCGGTGGATGTCCGCAAGGCTGCCTCGCGGAGCCACATGCAGGACACGCAGCCGGGGAGGAACCATATTGCTGTACAGAATTAGGGAACATATCCAACGTATCCGACATATCCAGATCAAGATCAAGATCCAGAATGGCAAATTTGAAAAGTTTCCGATCGGATGGATGGCAGCGAAGCGTTATATGGCGCTGGAGCCGGTGAGAGCTAGGATGGCCGCGGCAGCGGCACTGACGCCGTCGTCGTCGTCGCCGCCGCCGCCGCCGCGTCTAGGCCGGGCCGCCAGGTGCTTTCACCGCCGATGAGGCGCTAAGAGGTTTCCAGTTGAGGCAGAGGCCGGCGGGTATATGAGGCGCTGCGGTCTGCAGGTAGGGGGAGAGGTATGGCCGAGGAGCCGCCGCCACCGTCGCCACCACCGCCAAGCGGTGTGGAACTTTGGACACCCCCGTTTGCTTTATCCACGGTCGGCGGCGGCGGCGGATGAGGAGGGCCGGTTCGGCATCGGCATCGGCATCGACACAACGGCGGCGGCGGCGGCGACGCCACCACGTCCAGTATCATATGTCGTACAGCCTGCCGCCGCTGCGTGACGTCATGTGTGCGAGTAGTCGCCGGGGTGAAAAGAGGCAGGCGCAGAACCCGCAGCTGCCAGGCTCCGCTCCAGGGGGGCCGCTCTGGCCGCTGCGACATCTCGGGGCTGCTCCTGGCGCTCTGGCCGCTGAACAATATCCAACGCCTCCAGGATGTCAGCAGCATCCAACCAACCAAATTCGCAATTCGTGTCCTAAAGGCTCGGCAACGTGATGTCAAATTATGCCGCCAATTATTTATTGCCTCATATCCCTTTGCCGTTTCTATTAGATCAAAAAGCCCTGTCACGAGTACTTGTGGCAAGCTGAACCAACTTCAACTCTTTTGCACTGAGCGGTACTAATGAGGGGTAAATGCTCCAAGGAATCACCCCTCGGGTTTGATCTATGCGCCTCTTTCCTCCTTTTGACCTTAGCAATCTCCCACAGGCTTTAGCGCTTTACCACGGCCATATATCCGGGCCGCACTCGCACGTCTATGAGTGAACGCGCCGCTATACTTGTTTTTCAACAGGATGCCTGATGATACTCAGGCGGTGATTTAAATGCAGCACCCGCAGAGGGAGGCTACTATCCCTATGGGAATCTTCAAGGCGATATATGGTTCACACGTGTGTATGGGGGAAAGGGGAAAGGAGAAATCTACCGAAGTCTACCTCACGTTTAAAAACACACATCGCACGCATTTCAGCTGATAGCAATAGCACGGTGCAAACAGCTTGGGTTTTTGACACCTCCTTTTCCCTTGCTTTCCCAACTTTATCGTCCCCCGCCTTTTTACCGGTTACTGTTACTCTTAGTAGTGGATACCCCTCGATGGAAGCTTATGGGCGAAGGTTATGGTGGTCAAGACACTGTGCAAGGTGGTCACGTGAGATATCGTACATGGGTGATTAAGACGCCGTACAGTAAGTTCGATTGTACGACGGTTACAGGGCCACCAGGCCACAGGGCTCGATTCTTTTCGGAAAGGAACATTACCGCGAGGCAATAGCGACCGAGGACGGCACGACACAGGAGAGCGCACACGAGCACACACACCACCACAGAGCAATTATCATGCTTGCCAGCCAGGCGGCCGGCAGCTTTGATGACGTGTGGATTTCTAGCTGCAGGCTAGAAACCTTTCCTGAAGTCTTTGCTGCGCTGCTGCTGTTGCATTGAAGTGCGACAACCCACACTCGCCGCAATGCCTTTAGAAGCCGCCGCGGCAGGCAATCCTCGTGTGACATGACGTCGCCCTCCAGTTTTTAATTCTTTTTCCAGCATCATCGGCTGATGACCTGATGACGACTGTTACTGAGCTTAACAAGGCCGCGGATGCGCCCCGGGGGGAGGGGAAGAACCCTAGGTCCTCAGGTATTTACACTGCCAGCATCAATACCCCCGTGGTGGTGGTACGATGGCTGAATGGCTGAAAACCTCTTTTTCACTGTTCTGAAGTTAAAAGAATTTACATCGTTCGTCATTTAGATAGGGAGCGTCGAACGCCGCGTGAATTTAACACGCAGAGGAGATAATCCCCATGCGAGCATTGCATGCACGTACAATGCACAGGCATGCTTGCTTCTAACGTAGCCAAGGCCCCAAAGGCCGCTGGGCCTCGCGACCATCCCCGCTGGCACCCCATATCCGGACCCTCCACCCTGCCGCAAATGCTGCTGCATGCGCTTTCTTCGCCCTTAAGCAACGCAGTAGAACCACCATCTTTTAGACACCATCCTAAGCTAAAACTTTCATGTGCTATCCATCCTATGAAACCTCTGGAAACTCTTACCCTTCAAATCTAAAATGCGACATAATTTTCTATCAAGACGTTGCCGTACACCCAGCCGTAAATCCATACCGCAATCGGATCCAACTAATTTTAAAAAATGCGCGCGAACAGGGTTTTTGCCTTTGTAATGTGAAAATACGGTATGCACCCTTCAGAGCAGGGATGCGTCCTGCAGCGAACAATTATAAAACCCGATAACAGTCTCACCGATGCGTTGCATCGTCCTCAGTCATTGGTATGTATGTCGTCATATGTCGTTCGTGTGCGTGTGTTTCTTGTGTCATCCCAGCACGTGACGCTTCTCCGTGTGCATTCACGTATTGAGCCAAGCAACCACCATCACCCAACTAACCAACGAACAACGTCCTATCGGTTAGGCGGCACAACCTCTCCCCAACTAAACGCAAGAAGGCTGCATTGAGGTTGTCCCTGCATGTGCAAGGTTGCATGCAGGCATGCAGGCAGGCACGCGCGCGCACAATTCATGCATAGAATTGAAGACGCACCAGGCGGGGGAGCCCCAGATGATCGCCGTGCTGCAAATTCAAATTTTCTAAGCGAGGGGAAGTGGCGGGAGTCAGCTGGAGAGCAGCTGGTGGTGGCAAATGCGCGCACGACACGCACTGCACCGCGTGCTGATAGCCAGCCCATGCAAGGGCTAACATGCCGTATGGATGGATGGATGGTTAGATGGTTAGATGGATGGATGGATGGATGGTTAGATGGATGGATGGTTAGATGGCAAGATGGCAATAAGCTGGAAGCGTGTTGGATTTTTGGCAATAAGATAAGGCTGGGTGGGTGGGTGGGTGGGTGGATGATGAATCCCAACAGTTCCGACCAAGTCAACACACAGCCCGCAATGGGACTCCGCTCCCTCCAAACTTAACTCTCTCCGCCCCCCCCCCAATGGGCAAATCCCCCGCAATACCACTTCGCCCAATTTCCGACCAAGTCGGGGCATCAGCATCAGCAATAGCAGCAGCAGCATCACCACCGCGAATAGGAACAAAATAGCGCAATGGCTGCCAAGCCAGGTTAGCCCAAGGTACGCTGCGCACGCAACGACACACCTCACTACTTACGCAACTTGACTCCCCCCCCCCAACCACTCCCGAAAACTCTCAAGTCAAAAAACCCTTCATAAAAAGCTCCACTAGAACTGCCTAAAGAACAAATCTTCATCTAGATCAGCATGAGCCCGGCCAGCAGCAGCAGTAGCAGCAGCAACAGCTGCGGCGATGGCGCCACCATCACGGCTGCGCCACCGGCTGTCTGCCGACTGCTAGCCGGGTTAAGAACCTGCAGAGTGAAGCCCCCCGGGGGTTCAGGGTGTGGTGTGTCTCCAACAAAAGTGAAAATGGCGTCGAGTAGTGCCGGGCGTCACTTAGCGGGGGGGGGGAATATCAGTGTGTTTTAGGGTTCAAATTTGGGTTCAAAAACAACAGAACACCCTTTTAGGGGGAAGAGGAGGAGAGGAGGATGTGCACTATAGGTAGAGCGGGACCAAGGAAGCCCGACAGCCCGCCCAGACGGAGCGAAGATGGACACAAAAGGTGTTTCTCCTCCTCCCGGGTTCCCTCTGCTGTATGTATAATGTATATGTATGGGTTTTACGCACCCGCACAGGATTTCTCGTACTGTGCCGTACACTTCCGTACACTTACCCCATTAATCACTTGGACGATCACTTGTGGCTCGATGCCGACTTGGAATGTATTTAGGATGGAGAAGACTGGGGATCCGGGTACGGCAGCTGAGGCGACGGTGGGCTTGACGCCAGCATCGGCCTTGTCGTTCGATGGAACCACAACCGTCACGTTGTTCGAACTTGGCATATGTATTTTATGTGCGCGCGAGCGAACGTGTGTGTGTGTATATTGCGTGGGGATGTTGCGCGTGGATGTTGAGGGCAAGGCGAAAGAAAGTTCAAAAGAAGAGTTCAAAAAAGGGGGGCAATCCTAGATGGGGAATATTACTTGGGAGGTGCAATAATTGCCGCGTCTGGTTCCCTCAGTGGTCGTGGTTTGTCTTACTAAGGGTTTAGGGTTTGTCTTGCTCTTACATTGGTAAAAGGAAATTCTTAAAGCCGTGTGATGATGTGTGTTTAATGAGCTATTAGGCCTCCTAGCCCAATAGAATCCTGGCATAACAAACACAGGTTTTTTTATTACAAATAAGACAAAACAGAAAAGCCGAAGCGGAGGATACACAGCGGCAACAACGCTAACGAACAACCGTTGTCCCTTTCATCGCCGTACAACTTACACAGCCGTTTAGTTCAGGGGCATACAAAAAGTCTAGTTGCGAGGGTTGTATGGTATGGTTCAATGTTAATAATGTATACGATGTAGTAGAACCCCTGCTAACGAAATAAACTTACTTCAGAGTTATGTACGATGTACGAACGTATTCTTCTGAGGTTGTGTCCGTAACCACCCAGCCGTATGCCACATGGTGACGTAGCAAGCTTTCGTACGACCTTAGATTGGCGAGGATGGTGGTAGCGGCGGAGGCACCGAAGGCGCTGACGAAGGCCTGCAATATACCCAAAGACGGCGATTATGGGGACGGAGGTGGATTACCAGACGTGGAGAAGAAGCAATAAAGAGTGCAATTACATGTTCTCCGTGCCAACATACCTCCCGAGCGATGCTGCCAAAACTCCGGACAGGACAGGACAGGGATGAAGTAGAGGACATGGCAGTTGGTGGTTGAAGGAGGCGAGGGAAACCTCACATTCGCACAGACATACATACTTACACACGGGCAGACATGCATATGTATTGGCATGTATCAACAATTAATTGGGCGTTACAACTGATTCGGCAACAACTACGACACTCACCTCGTCGGTTGGTACGAATATGGTGTACGGGCTCGTCACATTCGCTGGCTTGAGAAGTTGGGCGGTCTTGAGCGCCTGGTACATGGTCGAGGCGCCGCTGATGGAGGCGAAGACCTGGGGCGAAACGGCGAAGGTGGACCGTATGGAGGAATGGCGGTGGAATGAATTTATTTTGTTGGATGTGTAAAAGAGGTGAGGGTGACCGATTTGAGATGGAGATGCCAGATGTCCTCGGGCAGATCAAAACATCCAAATTCAGGAAAAAAATATGACTTAAATTTCTATAAATCACCCACACGGGAAAGCTGGCGACCCCAGAGGCGAACACAGACACACATATATACGAGCGCGCGTGCTAAAAAACGCGTCAAACTATTCATCTTTAAGAAATATCTTTACTGCGAGCTGATCATTGCTACACAGAGAGACAGACAGAAGGACGGACAGATGCCGTTTTGGAGAATGTGACCTCAGATCTTTTAGCATAAGACAGCGGAATAAACAAAATATCTTTTTAAAAATAATATATAATAATATTATATAATATAACAGTGTCACCACGGCCGCCTCGACCCTTACATCCCCATTTCCATACGCACATACATACACACACACTCACTCACACACACTCACCTCATCAACTGAGTTGTACCAATACTGCAAAACGGTATCCACGACATTAATGCACGACGCGCCTGCCGCGACATCAGCCTGCAGTACTTTAGCGGTTGAGCTAACCCCCAGAATGAATATCTCCGGGGATGTCGCCGGGGGGCTCGAGGGAGGCGAAACCCGCACGCCGATGCTTGAGGACTGTCCCATCGTACTGCCCGTGACGGTGTACGACAAAAACAAAAAAATGATATTCATAGCCGTAGCCGTGCAGCCACGACATTGAAGGCGCGTGATGTTGGCGACGGGCATTACAGAGGGGAGGGGATGGCCAGGTGAGTTTGTCAGGTGGCGGGGGCTAGGGGGATGTCAGGTGGTGGTGGGTCAGGGGGGATTTCAAGGGGGAAGAGGAAGCAACGGGAGTTGGTGGTTGCAGTTGCCGTACGTCTCAGAGACGTGTTAAAGAAGAGAACCTCAACGAAGAGAAGGGGTCCGTTGTAAAAAACACAGAAAACACACGCACACGCACACGACCCGTCCCATGACGACGAACCCCCATTATTCCAAAACACGGATAGAGACCGTAGAAAAAAAAGACCGCAACCTGGAATTTATATATTTCACATTTACATATCCTAAAGCACAGGTAAAATTCCGTATTTTCGTTACATTCGTTACAACCGAGCCTCCGCCGCTGTAGTACTCCGCGTCCCATCACAACCCAATGCCGTACGAGTTGTACACAGTCCGTACTCACAGCGTGGTGTTGTAGTACTCCGTACCGCCGACTGATTGATTCGCAACACTCTGAAGGCTAATTCTGGTCGGTAGCACGTGATAGCTTAGGGCTCTTTTGATAACCGGCAAGTACGGCAACAAACCCGCACGGTTGCTCCTGGCAACGCCCAGCGCGTCCGACAACTTGTCAAAAGCCCTGCGGATTGGTGCAGACAAGGTACGGCATTGAGTCTATTGTCGCACATTGCAAATTCGTACAGTACGACACGGCAAATCTGTCACTCGGGATGCATGTTCCGAACCTAGAAGGGAAAGCCGAACCAGCTTCGTGTAATGATGAATAATAGGCCATCGCGGGACGTGTCCGGACTCACGTCTCAGTGGGCAGGAAGAAGGTCACCTCCTGGCTGGAGTCGTTGAAGGTTGCGACTTCATTTGCGGTCGACAAGGCAAGACTGATCGTTGGGAAGCTGTTGTTCTTGACAAGGAAATCCCAGATGGAAGAGTAGCTGACAGGAGGGGTGGGAGGGGTAGACGGTGGCGGCGAGGGAGGTGGTATTGCCGGCTGGCTGGATGCGGGACTTGTTGGCGTGTTGTCCTTAACCAGGGGCGGCCGGTCGACATCCTCGTTAGGCGGCGGCGGAGGAGGACTTGCTAGGGCCGGCAGTAGTGGTGGTGGAGGTGATGGCGTAGATGGTAACGGAGGCGATGTGAAGGACGACGGCGAGGCTATCAGAGGCGGATACGTAAAAGCAAGAACATTGCTTTTCCATGCAGGCGTAAGGAAAAGAAGCAGACCTGGACCGGTGAGGGCGAGACGAAAAGGAAGGATGTCAGAGGGGCATCATGATGTCACGGGAAAGAGTGAGGCTCGAGCCGAGTCGAGAAACGAGACGCTGAATTAAGAGACCTGGACAATTCATTTGACGTCGTTTATAAAGAATCCCTCGCTGCCAGGCTTCTTCACTGTTTCCCGCCCGTCTGAGCGAAGCACGACGTTACAAAACCATGAACGAATATGGGAAGTTCCATGCGCAGCTTGCGCTTCGCGATTGCATGGTTCAATAACAACCGACCTGCGCACGCGAGAAGGTAGTTCATGAAGGCAGCGATTGCCATCCGCATAGTTCTCTGTTGGAATCCAATACTGTGTCTTTTAAAATAAGGCCTGTAAGTTGATGCTGGGGGCTCTCATTTCCAGCAATTATGGAAAGCCATTTAGCGCCACTTTGCATGTGATGGCGCCACTGCATCAAGTATTGCGCCATGTACGGATTTGCTCGCGCAATAACTTACCCCGTGTCTTCAACTGGAAGTAGTCACCTCCACATATCTCTTTTAAATGTTACTGTATGTTGGCATAACAAATGGTTCTCCTGTTTGGGGCCGATTAGATGTCGATAACGGCGAAAACAAACTGGCAAGAAGAAGACAAGTTATAATAAAAGGCTTGGCAAGAGTCTAACTCCAGAATTAAAGACTCCAGGGGAACATGATTTATATAGCTGTGGATTCTCAACCGCTACGAGCTACTGCCGCTTCTCATGCTCTTGTACGGCGTGGTTCGATGCGTTTTGCGTTCTGTGGTAACTGCGAGACGAGGTCTTTCGACATTTTCTATTGTGTCTTGCGAGGCATTGCTGTGTGATGGATGTATTGTGGTGTACTTTGGCTGTTCGTGACCACGGGCCACAGTCAGACTTTGCTAACTGGCGCACAATGAGATCACGTACATTCCACATTCTCAGGACGCACGAATCTACTCACTTAGGAAAGGAAGCATTTCCATTGTTCATCCCTTTGTTAAAAAGGGCAGCAAAAAGGTATGAGGTCGAGTTCAACCATGATGTCCGTCGCATCACAGGCAGTCTCAGGCAGTCACACCCAAGCACGGCAAATGCATTAATTTTATATGACGAAGGAAGGAGCAAAGGCCACTTTGGTTCTAAAGCCTCTCCTGCAAAATGGGCGCCATGTTTCATGCTTGGACATAGGAGCCACTGCTCTGAAGCGAGGTGTGACATATGCGCTGTTTAAAATCTTGACCTTTGGAGTAAGGAAGAGCTTTATATATTACGCCGTTAGTCTGTAAGTGGTAACCCCAACACAGTATCTATCGCACAGAACCCAAATAATACATTTATACGATACAAAAGCAGGAACTGCGCAAGGAAATTCTCTTGAAAAGGTTCTAGATCTGACCTGGAGTTCGTTCCCGACTTAACCGTACTTCGATCGTTTGCGATACATTTCGCTTTTTTAGAGCCGTAACTTGTCGCATGGCGGCATTTCTTTGCTGGCGTCTTAAATCGTAAGCGTAGGCACAGAATACAGTACTTTTCGCGACGGTGGAAACACGCGGGGCCAACCAACCAAGCAGCTTTGGGGCCCAAACAACTCGTTGAAGGCGGCCTGCACGCTGCGAACAGTCAAGTGCGCAGCTCAACTACCTGTACCTGAAGCACGGCAGCAGCTGGCAGCAACAGCAGCAGCTAGAAGCGAGAAGCGAGAGGTTTGCTGAGCGACCAAATCTAAGACCGCTAGAACATCACGACGTCTTGCTTGCACTAATGACCTTACACGCTTTATTGCAAGTACTCGCGACGACCATTTACGGGCAGACCTACGGCAACATTCGGAGCTTATATTGCGACAGCTTGATATCAATTCAAATCCAACAGCTAAAATGCATGCAGGTTATCATAAACTTGCAGCGACACAAGGGTCTTCGCAGGCCTTCATACCTCTGCTGGCTGCGGTTGATTTAACTGCAACGTCATCTAGTTACGTTATACCACTTTGAAAGGTAAACACATCGTTTCTAACCAATCTCGGAGCAAAAACATGAAAACTCATGCCATCATGACAGCCGTGACGTCTGGTTCTCTCTCTCACCTTCTCCACAGAATTACATAACGATTGTTCTAACTGCTTTTCTCCTCAAAAGTGCTGCTTAGAAACGGTTTGAATTTTTTACCTAGGTTTGGACGTTACGGGTGAAGTTCTTGAAGCTAGAGACGAGACCGCGGCATCGCACGATTAAAACATCGATCGGTTAATGAAGGAGATCCGGGCGCGGCTTGATGATGTGTGAGAGGCTGCAGCTGGCTCTCACACAGCTGGCGGTGATTGTTTCTGACATAAGGGGGGTCAGATGTGGGTTTTCAGATGTGCCGCGATACCTGCGATGGATGGGCCAATCCAAGCCCTACGAAGGCTATATTTTGCCGAAACAGCACATCACACTGATGTGCATTACGATGCTTGTTTGGCCGCTGGCTGGCAACCGACCGCAGGGCAGGGAGCGTGCATCGCGGTGGTGTCGGGTTTGTGACGGTCGATCGTCAGGCAATCGATTGAAGACGAGCGATACGTGTTGTTGCTCGAATGTCACTGAAATGAAAAAAGCAAACATACGTCCTGACCTTTGGAGCTTAGGCCCTGTGCCAGGGTTCTGCCATGGATGCTGCGGAGATGGGTGTTGAGGACCAACGCGCGCGGGCTAGCGCACGTCCTGGATTGCATACGGAGACGTAAGTTGGAGTACATGAACGGCTAATGCGGCTCATGAGACCTTTTTCTATTACTATATATTTTATCTTTTCTCCTTATTTTGCTCAAGAAGCTTGTAATAAAAAGCGTCAAACGTCAAATGAATGTACAGCTGTGCAAAGTAAGGACATCGTCGAACAGAATCAGAGGGGGCCCTAATTTTCCTCGGTAAATAATATTTTTACGTGCCAAGCCCAAAGCACAGAAATATGGCATAACATAGCGTAACAAAAGGGATATGAGTGTGCGTTGAGAACCGAATTTCGACATCATCATCTTCCGCACGAACTAAGCAATCCGTGGCTTCCTGCTGTATGAATCCTCTGTTATAAACAATTCACAACAATTTCGATTGTTTTTCGCTACCTGCCTCTGCCCCGCCGCTGGCCTAACCGCAGCGAATTGGCACAACAACCACACAACTCCCACACACCCCAAAACTACAACTCTCTAGATTCTGTTACGTTCAGCGCAGAGTAGGTCAGGCGAAGTGAAGGCTGGAGCCAGCCCCGCAGCCTCCAACATTTAAGAAACCCACGTAAACAAAACTAAGGAAGGGTAAAATCAACTAATTCGCCAGTATTGTCATCGCGCGCCCGTACCACCACGCGCGCTACCTGCCGCAAATGTCCATACGGCTCCAGCGCCGCCACCACCGCCGGCACAAGCCGCCGCTGCCGCTGCCGCCGCCGCCGCTCCACTGCATTACCCGGCGGCGCCGCCTCCAGCTCCTCCACCTCCTCTATCAGCACCTCAGAGGGCAGCAAGTCCGCCGGAAGCTCACCTAGATGCCGTACGGCCGCCGTCAACACCTCGCCTTCCCCTGCCGGCACCCGTACCTCCAGTCGTACACAGCGACTCGCCGACAGCGCCAGAGATCGTCCCAGGAGCCCACTTCCGCCTCGCGGTCGTCGGCTGTTGCTAATAATGACGCCGCCGCCAGCCCCGTCGCCGTCACCATCGCCGTCACCCCCGTCGCCGTCACCCCCGTCGCCGCATTCTGGATATGTAATGCAAAGCTCCCGCACCATCATGGAGCATCCTGGTTGGTCTGCGAAACCCTCCAGTAGCCGCCAATCGTCTTCCACTGCGGCGCGGTTTAGCAGCAACTTGGTGACCGCCACACGCCTAAGACCACCACCACCACCACCACCACCACCACCAGCTACGGCGGCGGCGGCGGCGGCGTTTTTTGCCGCCGCGCCGAAGAGCCGCATGCAATCCGCCAACCTGCGCACGTTAACCGCCGTAGCGCGCAGTAACAACCAGCCAAGCCAGGGATCGTACATCAGCGCATCGGCCGACAGCGGCTCTTGAAGAAAGGCCAGGTGCTCGTACAGCGTCAGCCGCAGCGGCCGAGCGGCAGCGCCGCCGCCGCCGCCATCCATACCCGGCAGTAGCACCTGAGCCACTCGGCTGTAGCCTCCGACCAGCGTCAGCCCGCGCAGCTGCGGTAGCGCCGCCAGCAGCGCTCGAGGCCACCCGAGCTGTGTGCGCTGTCGGAGCGAGTGGTGGATGGCGTCAGTGTGCACCACGAGGTCCTCCAGGGAAGGACAACCGCCGGCCCCCCTGCTGGCGCCGCCGCCGCCGCTGCTGGCACCCAGGTGCGCAACTCCCGACGCCGCGACGGCACTCGGGTCGTACACGAAAGCCGCCGGCAGCTCCAACCGACGTAGAAACCGCATGGCCGCTAGGGCTGCTAAGGGCGGAGCCGGATCGTGAGGAGCAGTTGCTCCGAAACCCGCAGCGTCAGGCTGTTCCGCAGGATCAAGCTGATATGGACGTGGATGTGGACATGAAGGAGCAGGGGCGTACCTGCCCGTGGCCTCGCCGTATGATGGGTCTCTGCCGCAAGTGTCGCCGGTGCCAGCACCTGGCAGCAATGGCGGTGACGGCGGCGGCGGCGGCGACTGTACGACGTCCCAGTGACCGGATAAGGAGAGGGACTCCAGGGAGGGAAAGAGCTGGGCAAGTGCCGCCGCCAAATGGTGGGTCAGCACCAAGGGGTCCACCGAGCTTCGCCAGCCAGCGTCTCCTCTGGAGGCTGTTGGCGGCGGCTTGCCAAAGAGGAAGCTAGCGGCGGCGGCAGTGGCGTGCGAGAGGTGGCCGTCATTGCAGGGGTAAGTGGGAGCAGCAGAGAATAGTCTTGCGGCGGCTGCCTGGTTCTTGGACTTGGACGGCGCTGCTGGTGCTGCTGGTGCTGCAGCGGTGGTGGCAGGGACGATGCTTCCGTCTGGCGCTACTTCCAAGCCACTGTCGTGCACCAGCCACTGCGCGACTTGATAGTGGTGGTCGTAGAGGTGGAGGTGTTGTTGGTTGCTGTGATGATAGCCACGGCCGCTGTCGAAGATTCCCCGAGAGAAATCAGGGTGCAGGTCAGATGGCTTAAGAGCTGCTGGGGTAGATGTGGCCTCCGGGCGCGGGGAGATGGTTTGCTGGTGACGTTCGGGAGTTTCTTGTTTGTTGAGGCGCTTGGTGGGTTTAGGAGCAGAAGGGGGAGAGGCATCCGCGTGAAGGTGGAAACTGGTGATGTGCGGGAGCACATGTCCGCGCGCAGCTGCCTCCAGGAAGGGCACCTGCACGCAGTCCATGCCAAAGTTGCTGATGCAGCTGTTGCGAGCACCGGTATGGGGATTGCAGCAGCTGCGAGGTGCAGGGCTTGCAAGCGCAGTCAACGCCAGGCGCGTGCATCGGGGCCACTTGGCAAGGATGCTCAGCGCGCCGGACACAGAGTTTACGCAGAAGTTGTTGCCAGTGGAACCTGGCTTGAATTTTATTATTATCTCGAGAGGTTCTGACATTAGCGGGTCAATCAGCGAGGATGCCGTGCGACAGGTGGCTCGAAGTGAGAGGGCGCCCTGCAGGCCCAAAGCTGAAATGAAATGGTGTCGAGTGTTTAAATCTGTTGTGAGCATGACTTCGACCAAGCCCTGAGGGAGGGTTGGTAACCCCAAATATGTAATTGCCATTGTTTCGGCAACTGTGAAATACAAGTTCTTGATGGAAAGCAACTATTGCTTGCCCCGTTGTGAACTTATGTGCTGTCTGCCTTTACCCTTCATATGCCCGTCAGCAGAGCTGCTGGAAATGGATCCATTCCGCATTAGCGGTTAACTTGTACGGTTCGCAAAGTTGCCCTCTGGTCCGGCCTTGCACGCTTAAGGCCGATTGACTGGCGCTAATTGTGCTATATCCAGCTGTGTCCGCTCCCACACATGCGCGCGCGCGTTCTTTAAAAGATGGGTCGCACATCGTCACGCCTCGTCACCCCGTTTCCTCACATGGACCAAGCGCACGCATACCTACCTACCTAAAACACAGCGCGAAGCGGCCTTTGGCACAGGCAGTATGAAATACGGAGAAGTCACGCCTTAGGCACAGGCAGTACGAAATACGGAGAAGTCATGTACTGCAATCCCAGAAGCGATCCAGAAGTAACCCCAGCGACTTTAACCCATTTTTAGGGTCTACCGTGCACGACGAGGCAACAGAAATAAAGCACAAAATGGTCTATTTCCTAATTAACCTACAGCTATAACTGCTTAGTTGTAGCTAAATTAGGAAATTGCATTTTTGTTATAGTCGCCACCAAAAGACACAAATTAACACAAACAAAGACATACAGACACAGACACACAGACACAGACGCTAGCTGTCTGCTAGCCTAGCTGGTCTCGGAGCCCGGCGGTGACAGTACAACGGCCGCCAGCGGGGCGAGCAAAGCCAATCTGGATTGTACGGCCGTCCTGGAGCCCACAACGGGAACACCACCGCCACCGCCACCGCCACCGCCACTGCCACCGCCGACGCCACCGCCGACGCCGCCGACGCCCTGTCCACAATAGACTCCGGGTCTCTCCTCAATGCGGCGAGTTCTAGCTGCCTCTAAGAAAGCTGTAGCCGCAAGAGAGCTCCCAGATCCGAAACCACTGAGTTGCCCCCGTGGAGGTGGGGGGTTACCAGCGGACGAGGAGAACTGCTGCTGCCGCACCTCCCGCAATGGCTGTAGCGGCGGTAGCGACTGTGGCGACTGTAGCGACTGTGGCGGCAGTGGTGTAGGTGCTGGTGCTGGTAGCGACCGTGGCAGTGGCGAGGGGGATGGCTGCAGCTGGTGACGCTGCTGTAGCAAACTGGTCAGTGACTTGGCTTTCCTCGCACTGCCGACACGGTCGCCGTCACCGCCACTGTCGCTAGTACGATTAGTACGACTCAACAGCGACGGCGGGGTGGTGCCTGGGGGACTTCGCGCCTTGAACGTGCTCCATATGCCGCGGGATCGGGAGCCGTCGTGAACGCCGTACTCTGATGCTGCGCCAGCGGCGGCGGTGGCGACGGCGCCAGCGGCGCCGTAAGCAGAATCGGGATCACCGTCCGACCAGCCTGGGCGGGTCGGTCCGGCGGCGCATGCAGCCAAAATCTCAGCCGTTGCCACGGCCTTGAAACGCTCCGCGCCCCAAGACATGAATCGGAAACTGGACGTGGCCGTCGCGCCTCTGCCGCCGCCGCCGCCTCTACCGCCGCCGCCGCCGCCTCTGCCGCCACCATCGTGATGGAAAGCAGCAGCAGCAGCAGCAGCAGCAGCAGCAGTAGCATCAGCGCCGCTGCCGCCGCCATCAATGCGATCCAGGCCCCTTGGTGACGACGAAATCATGCTGTGCTGCGACGCGGTGGGGATCCTTAGCGCCAGGCTCTGCCCGACGCCACTAGTGTTGCCGCTGACGCGTACGACATTGTACGACACGCAACTGGAGCTTTGATCCGGGTACGGCATGAGTATGGAGCCCGCTGTAAGGCTGCTAGAGGGAGCGGGAGCACCACTTGGGGGGTTATTGGACGACGCAGGGCGCAGATGCCCATCAGCCTCCACGTCATCCTCTTGCTCGTCCATCGACCCGTAGTACGACACGTGCTCGCTGGCGCTTCGGACGCGAAGTCGCCAGCGAGTGCTGTTGTTTGTCGGCTCCGGAGTAGATGTAGGCTCAGCGTTGGCCTTAGCTGGCAATTTTAACATCTTGATTAGGAAGGACCGCAGCCATCGTCGCAGGTTCGAAACCCGCGAGGAGCTGGAATTGACCGTCGCCGCGGCTCCGGCAGCGTCTTGAAGGCGTTGCAGCCCTGGACACGAGCTCTGCGACGTCACTGCGGAGGCGGTGAAAACGTCGCAGTTGGCGGAGGTGTTGGCGGCGGCAGCCGCCGCCTCCGTCAGCATTACCAATCGTGGACTTTCTGCGCCGCAGCCGCCCTCCGGCGCCAGCGCAGCCGTTCCCTTCCCGTCCTCGTCCGAAGGGGCAACTGACTCCGGTAGGCCAGTGCCAGCACCCGCCGGGCGGGCTAGTTCACCTGTGGCCGCTTGAGCCTGCTTCGCAGTCCTGGCGGCGACGGCGCCGCTGGCGACGGCGGCGGCAGCGGCCGCGAGGTACGGCAGCTCATCCGCTGAATCCACCTCCCGTACAACCTGCGGATCCAGAGGGCCGTGCTGCAACCATAGCGATGGCAGCGGCGGCGGCGGCGGCAGGTTTTTCGTGCCTGCTGCTTCGCTGCCGCCACTCCCGCCGCCGCCGCCGCCGCCGCTGCTACCGCAGGGGATCGGATGTCTACCTGCGCTAGTACGCAATGTCGTGCCTGGCTGCGTTGCGCCATGTGACTGCTCGCCATGGGTAGCGGTGGTGCCCTGTACGGTTTGTGGCGGCGGCCGCGGCACCGCCGCCGCCTCAGCGGAAGCTCCGGAACCGGGCACATCTGTGGCGCCGCCGTCGCCGTTGCCGTCGCAACCCGTACTTGAGCCCATAGGACCCTCTGCTCGCAGACCGCCACCGTCGCCGACCTGCCCGCTGGCAGCGACGTCAGCAGCGTCGACGCTGACGCGGACGGCCGTGGCAGCAGCGGTGATGATGGCTGCATTGCACGACATGCGCCAGCGCGCGCTGGCGCCGCCTCCGGCAGTAGCGTCCTCGGCACCACCACAATTGCTACTGCCACGTAGCGCGCTGCCGCAGCTGGCGTTGCTCGTCCTTTGGCTGACGGCACCGCCGTCGCCGCCGCCGCCGCCGAGATAAACGCTGCTGGTGTAGCTACTTCGCTGTTGGCAGCTACTGCTATTACTGGTTCTGTTGCTACTGCCGGGATATCCAGAACCGCAACTGCTACTGCCGCTGGCGGTGCTGCGGTAGCGCAGGCCCTGGGCCGCTTGGCTAGCTTGCTCCCGCCCAGCTGCTGCTGTCCGCGTCGCTGCGGCGGCGGCGGCGGCGGCTGCGCA